TTTCTCCAGGTATTTAGAAATGTTCGCCACAGCAACCAAAAACTTTGTGGAGGAGGTGGACGATGGAGGCCTGCTGATCCCGGTGTCCCACCTGAACGACTCCATCGCTGTGCTGACTGTGGTGGTGAAGCGGAAACGTTTCTGGTTCTGGCAGAAACCAAAATATCTTCCAACCGACTTCACCCTGAACGACCTGCTGACGGGGGACACGCCCATAACGCCAGGTAAACCTCACCTGTTTCATCTGAGCATCTGCTTGTAGGAAGATGGCTGCAAATCTGACCTTCTGAAGTGCCTTTACAGTTGTGCTGGAGACAGACTTCATCAAATACAGCGGCACCTTTGGAGACAACATCGAGGGGAACGTCAATGCTAAGCTTGTCAAAGCAAACGTGAGCATAGGGGGTAAAGATTCCTCTAAACTCCAGTCATCCTTTGGCAGTTTGAAGAAAGAGGAAGTTGAGGTTCAGAAGCTGCTGCGAGACTCCAAAGACAGGTCAGCTCCACCAGCAGAACCTCCCTTAAAGATCTCTAACAGCAAACCTGATCTTTGCTCAACCATAAAGATTCAGGTCCAGTCAAATATTAACATAAAGACTTTCTGAGAGGTTTTAATGTCAATAACATCTTTTCAGAGAATAATACATTGAAAGTACAGACCACTGAAAGGGATGCTTTTATTTAAATCAGCAATTCCTGACAATATTCCATTATGTTTTGTGTTTCTGTTTTAGAGTGGTGGACATGTCCCACTCTCTGATCCAGCAGATCAAAGAAAAACAGAAACAGGTTCTTTGCATCGTGAAGGAGCGCATCGTGACCACGCAGCCCTGTTCAGTCATCGAGGAGGTGCAGCAGGGCGGGCAGTGCGGAGGGAGCCTGAGCCCCAAAATATCTAAAGTACAGTAGAAGAAAACTTATCACAAACACATGCTTACACTTTCTTAACCTGACTTTATGTTGTGTGATGCATTTGTACACTGAGTTCCTCTTTTAGTTTGAACCAACATAAAGTAGGAGTTAGGTTTCAGTTCTGCACGGAACTGGGAGCATTACTAAACTATTGGGCGAAAGGAGCTTTACACTGTTCAAGGAAACAGCGTCATTGATTTATCCAGTTTGGTTTGCTTCTTGTTTGTATTGTCCAGCTCAGTCCTCCCTCTCAGCATGCTAAATCTTAAAATTCCATTTACAGGATTTCCAAATCTGGAATATTGTTGAAAGAGGGAGATAATACCCAGATTTTATTCTTCTTCCAACTGGCTACATGAAAATAATCTGTATTTCTAACATTTATTGCAATCCGTGTTTTCTTGTCACCCTAATGCCACTCATCCGTCCACCTAATTAGACTAAAAATCATAAAGGCTGAAAATCTTAAGTCAGGAAGTGTGTCGGAACCATGTCAGCTGCTGCTGGGAATATTTGGGAGTAGAAACAGTATTTTAGTCAGAATTATGATATTGCAGTTGTTTTGTTATGGGTGTCAGTTGGCTTTAATAAGTCAACTCATCAATGCATGTTTTTCTGAGCATCCTGCTGCCTTGTTATCTCTCCACTAGGTGGCGCTGATGGAAAATGGAAAATTGAGCAAAGACAGCAATGTAACAATGGAGATCCCCACACACACCACTATAGCCTATAGCCTGATAGAGCTGGAGATCAAGCAGGACGGGCACTTTGGTGACAATCCCTTCCATTTTTATAGACTGACTTTTGTTAATTTAATAAGGCATTAAAAAGATCGACTGAGTATTCCAACTGTTTTCCACAGGGTTGTGTGTGATGTCAGGCACCACTGGAGGGTTTGAAGTAGACGGCCATGTTGAGAAGCAGCTGCCGGGCGTGTCAGCAGCACCAGAGGCCTCAGAGAGCCATCTGCTTCAACAGGGTAAAACTAATGTTCTCTTTTTTTTTTTTTTACACACTGAAGAAATCAATAATAATTGTTGCATAAAACATCTTTCTGAAGATGTAGGATTATAATAACATGGTAATTATAGTTAATTATGCAGCCAAACGCCTTAAGTTATTCCTCATTTCTTAATGGTTGGATTAAAGCTGAGACTTATCTGGCCTTGAACAAGACGTGCTCTGGCTTTAAAGGTTCTCTGCACAGTAACTTCTCTTTTCTGATCAGGGGTTGCTGGCTGTGAATGACAGGAGGCTGAAAACTAAAGGAGATAGAGATTTTACTACAGTGACCTCCCAGATTTTGGAACTGTCTGCATTCTAACTCGGGATTCGTGGATTCGGTGGTCTTACTTGACAGCTGAAAACTTTTTGCACTATCCATTGGTCTTATTTTGTTCTTCTGAAGCACTTTGTACTATTTTTTCTAAAGATGTTACATAAATAAACATTTATTTACTCAGTCTTTGCACTTATTTTCAGCCAAAAGCCAGACTTTTTAAGGTGTTGGTCTGTGTTGACTCACAATGCGTTCACTACTAGCAGCCTCCATCTAAAGCTTTGTCGGGCTCTTGTACTGCCTTTTTATGGCATTACTTCTCCAGGTTATTTTTTTTACTCCTCACAGTATGTTGCTATAATCAGGTACAAGACTTGTAAGAGCAACAAATAATGTAGCTAAGGGTTACAGAAAACATTCAGTTATAGATTGTTTGATTAAAAACAAGAAAGTCTGGTTCCTTTAAAGAAAAGAATGAAGAAAAGTGGCGCTGCAAGGCTTTTGTGCAGCCCTGTAGTCAGATGCAACACATCCTGTTAAGGTCCTGGGAAAGGCATAAGTATAGTGATGTGTCAAGTGTTTTCCTTTAATCATTCGGGGTATTCAGGCATCTGTCATATGGGCTGCTTATTTTTCTTCTCAAAGCTTAAGCATTAAATTTCCAGGTTTTGTTTGTTCCGCTACTGTTTAAAGTAGCTAAAAATTTAAAGTGAAATTATTTTAAAGTGTATACTCTTTTGTCATATTTAACAGCTTTATTTTGTGCTTGATACGTCTTTGTAAAATAAGTGCTGTAAATGTGTTTCTTTCTCCTTAGAACTGCAGAAACTCGAGGATCATTTCCTGCTGCTTTCTGCCCTTCCACCTTCCACCAGGTCGTCTCTGCTCCAGCACATAACAGAGCTGATGCAGGACCCGGCAGCTATCGGGGCACTCCAGAACGCCGTAAGAGACGCACAAAATGTCCTCGGTTTCTTTAACTAAATCAACACGGTAGATAACAGTGGATGCATGTTTTTGTGACAGCTGGAACAGATGTATCAGGATAAAAAAACAAACCTGGATGCTGGATTAATAGAGTCTCAGCAGCAGAAGATCCAAGCAATTCTTGAGGTGCTGCAGCAGCAGTCTAGCGCAGAAGATTCAGCTAGGACATCCATCCTCACTGCATTGCATCTGACTACCAGCGCTTTAGAAGGTAAGAAAGGCCTCCAGTTTGAGAAGGAAAAAAAATACAAGTCTGATCATATTTTTTTTGACCTTGTTAATTAAATTCTTCCAGAGATGTCAAAGGATTGTCTCCCGGTTTTAAGAAAATGTAGTAATCCTGCAACCCTGCAGGCTCTGGAACTACTGGTTAGTGACGATCATTCTACACACATTAGTGTTGCAACTAACTCAGATTACAAACTATATTACTCATTCTTACCTTGCTTTTCCTATGTACGGTCTAGGTGCAGTGTGCATCAGGAAACTCGAAGCCGGCTCTGAGCAGCGCAGCTCTGTCAGATGACGTCTATGAAAGGGCTGAACACCTGTTTGCCTCCTCTAATGTATCTCTAAGCAGAGGCGGCGATGTGGTACAGGCCGAAATCAGGAAGGAGCCAGGAAAACGCCCTCTATTCCTGTGCATCGCCATTAAAAGTCTTGCCTCTTTGGCCCATGACTGATCCAAATTAACCCTCTACAGTATGCTGGATCAGAAGGATTTGTGACTGAATTGTTTTTGAGGGAAGATTGAGGGTTAGAGGTCTTGATCTATAAACTAATATGTTCAAACACAATGTTTATCTCCTACAGAGAAGCACTAGCTGATAACTAAATGTGTTCCACCTTTTTCAAAGAGAAAAACATGACCCATCTCAAATAGCTTTAGATAGTTATTTTCCTCTTCTATAAGTATTAAATATTACATTTAATCGTTTTAGGTTTTGACTGTTCTGCCTAGAACACTTAAGGCTGTTTTTTTAAGTACCTCACTAAGAAATGTGTTGGATACAATAATGTCTGTTATTTACAAGCACAGAAAAACAATGTGTCAAGTGGAAGTGAACCGACTCAAAAATAAAACCCTTAATTATTTCATGATTTTATGTTTAGTGTTAAGTTTGTGTTCATACTCTTAATTAAAACCAAGTGAAAAAAATCACTAATTAGTGAAGTCTGTGATTTAAATGATGTATAAACACAGCCCTTGTGTGAAGGTCTCTAAAGGTTTGTTGGTAAATATCAGAGAATGGGTTAGTTTTAAGGATAGATTCTAATCAATCTTCATTAAAAAAAAAAATGGAAAGAATAAGGAACAGTTGAAATCCTAACACATGGGAGGAGTAAGAAGATATTTTCCAGAAGCTGGCAGGAGCTTCAGACGTGTTAAAGACGTGAGACTGGGAAGAAGATTAAGACCAGACCAACAGTAGAATAAGTTGGATTACAGCAGGTTTAGACCGACTGCAGACATTCATCCAGTGGGTTACTCCCTTTTACACAACTTAAAACCTGATATTAACAACATCCTCCATCAAATCAGACTTTATCCAAATAATGGAAAATTCATATATAATTTTTTCTACTTCACATTTAGTCCAAACACTTAGTCTCACATAAAATTACTTTGCAGATTTGAAATAGACTTTCCAGTGTAAAACTATGTTTAACACGTTCATTTTGTTTTTTAAGTTTTCAAGATTTTGACTTTATAAACCCAAATCTATGCAAAGATGCATTATTGTGATGTTATTACTATGGTATAACCGTATATAGGATTTGCTTACTCTAACAGTCAAAAGAGAAAAAGAAATGAGACCGATCATTAGAAAACACCTGTTACTTTATTAAACATCTGAAAATACATAATCTTAGATCTTGTAAAATATATCTTTTATAAGTAAATCTGAATAATAATTAAAACTGTTAAGTCTTTTTATTATCACATCTAAAGGGATAGTTTGCTGAGATGAAGAAACCTCTTCATGAGCACTGGGTGAGTTAGTTTTTTATAATCTTTTCAGCACAAATGGCACCAAATCCACTAGTGTGAGAGTCCAAAACTTTAAACCCTCTACCTGCAGAACACGTAGCATCATAAACAGTAGTTTTTTGTGTTCCAGTGAACACCACAGTATTGCTTTGCTCTGTTTAACTAAAAATGGTGGTCAGAGGGAGAGTTTTCAGACAGAAGGCTGACCTGAAATAATGTAATTACATTTATCAGTCAGTAGATCTAAGTCACAGAAACATGATGAATTAGTGCATTTGTAGTTATGACTTGTAGACTGTAAACTTAACACTGAGGTATCACATCCTGTTCTCTGACAGAGCACTCATTTCAGCAGAATAAATAAAACTTTCCTTTACAGATGTGACTGTCTGCAAACTTAAAGCTGATTAAAAGCCTCTTCCGCATAAATACAAATATCCTCTAAAACAAACATAATTGTCACTAAATAAGTACACTTCCTGTGTGTCCGTTATTTTTTTATACAGTTGCATAGTTTACTGGAAAAGAAAACTGGCGAATCAGATTTAAGGTGACTGATGCAGCTTTGTACCACAAGGTTGACGTCCCATAATTCCTGTGTGCAGCAAAGTGTTAAAAAACAAGTTTTTAATTCAAGGCCTGCAGCTCGGCCGGTGTCGGTCCAGGAGGAGGAGGAGGAAATTCAGTAGACCCAGCTGACTGGAACCCACTGCGGCTCCACAAATAATCGCTCCACGGTGTCTTGAAGCTTGTCGAATGCCTTGTCCAGATTGTCATTGACTATAATCAGGTCAAAGTAGTGGCTGTACGCCCGACGGATCCTGGCGCTCTCATCTATGGTCTTCTTCAAATCGTTCTCCTACATCAAAACAGGGAATCCGGTTATGCTATGATAGCAGAAGCTGCTGCTCAGGAGAAGCAATGATGTCATCAAAATAGGTAAACCAGTTTGTAATGATTACCGTGAGTATTTTGGTAGTGAGGCCAGCATCGACCACAGCTTTGTGCATTTCTCTTAGTGTGTCCAGCTCAGGAGCAGCAATAAAAACCACGAACGGCATGAACTCCGCAGTCCTCAACACTTTTAGGGCCTGTGCATAAACTGTGATGTCATTACTAAAGCCTCAGGGCCACACAGCTCTGCGTGCTGAAGGTAGGCTGATTTACCTGTGGGTTCACGTCCAGGATGCATGTGCGGCCAGCCCGCACCACCTCGTGGATGGAGTCAATCTTGGTGCCGTAGAGGTTCCAGTCGTACTCTCCGTGCTCCAGGTATCTGCTCTCCTTGATGTCCCGCTCCATCTCTTCCCGAGTCACGAAACAATAGTTTTGTCCGTCTTTCTCCTCTTCTCTGGGATGGCGCGACGTGACTAAAGCCAGGAAAGTTTAGGAAAGCAATCAAAGCAGAAGCCTTCATTCTCTGTTAAGTTTCTAGTTTATGTAATTCATTGGGATTTTACTGTAAATCATCAGAACAATTGTAATCCAGGTTAGACTGGCACACTCACAGGGCACAGTGGCTCCATATCTAAGAGGATTCATGACTACAAGGCGGTTCTTCAGACTCCTCCTTCCCACCCCCTGGGCTCCAATCAGAACTAGCGTTTTCCTTCGAAATGGGGGCATCTTAGCGACTTCCTCGTAGATCTGCAGCTCATAACGGTCAAACTCTGCTCAAGGCAATGCACAGGCTGAATGAGGACTGTATCATCTCAGACAAATTCAAATGGAAAAAAAAGAAAAACACCAGAAACAATAGTGAGAAACTGTGGTGAAACACACCTGCGTTCTTTGAAGTGAGGTACATCATTTTCTTCTTCTTTTTCTTCGAGGTCAGAGTCCCACAGAGCATTCCTGAAGCACATGCCACCACATGTTAGTGCAAATAGTTTACAAATGAATCCATTAGAGAAACTCAGCAATGATGTCTGGTAGGGCTGGGCGATAAACTGCTGTTTTTTCTGTGTGCACTGGTGGCTGGTATTTCCTTCCCCTTTAAGACACTGCAGTATATGGGGAATCACATGACTCAAACGATCCAGTCAGAAGCGTAAACAAAGAGATTGGCGGATGAGCCCAGTGAAGAAGCGTCTAACACAGCTGTAAAAAAAAATTATATAATTTAATCCTGTGAAGCTGAGTGAAAGCAGAGATGAAGCTGAGCCAGCAGAGAAGAAGTCGAGAGCGTGTAGGCAAGCCGGTTGTAAAAGAGGGTGTGCAAGTTTAAACGGTGCACATTGTTCTCACTGCATGTTCAGTTCCGTGGCACCAAAATTACGCCACAGATGTTGAGCAAAAGAACGCAAAATGCAAAGTTTGTCTGAAAACTGGGGGGACAACCCAAAGTAACACATCCAATCTCCATCATTACAGCACAGCCACGCTGTTGAGTTCAAAGATGTGCAAAAGGCTGCATTACCTTTGAGAAAAAATGTTTGCAAGAGAGGAAATATATTTCTCCTGTTCAATAAGACATAAGTGAATGTTTAAAGCTAAATGGGTACAAGACTTTAATATTACATTTAGAGGTAATATGTTAGGTGATTTATTATAATAGGAAAATTACAATTAAAAATCAGTTGTATTTCCTGCACATGCCTTTATTTCTGATAGAGGAGCTGGAGCAATTATCGTTATTGAGGTAAAACTGCCCAATTTATTGTGATACTGATTTGAGGTCATATCGCCCAGCCCTAATGTCTGGTATGATGGGGAAACTGGGGAGGTGCCGACCTGTACCAGCGGTGTCCCAGTCTCTCCTCACAAAAGCTTTCCTCTTCTCCTCCAAGACCTGACTAGGAATCAGGCCAGTGGCTCCACCAACAACTTTGCGTGCCTTTGTGGGAAAAAAAAAAAAAAAAAAAACCCGTTATCAAACATCTGACTCAAGAAGACAATAACAACTATGACAGAATTTCACTGAATCTTGATTTACAGAACTTGTTATAAGCCCTGGATGGTAGGAAACCCAGGCGATAATGCTACCTCTTCAATTTATTTATTCCTTTGAATACAACACTTCAGCACACAAAAATATAATGGAAATGTGTCTACACAAAAGAAACTATGCAGACTGTTCAATTTCTTAAATTTGTTTTTGACTACAGAACACTGAAAATCAATATCAATCTATGGAAAGAATATATTTCTATAACGAGCAGAGTTTATATGGACTAAATGAACTAAGGAGGGAAGGAAAAAACAGAAGGAAGCAAGGAATGAAGGGCGCAAGTATAGGTGGAAAGAGGGGAGCCCTGCCCTCCTCACTGACCAGAAGTGGTGCTGACTGACAAAGACAAATTTCTGACTGGGAATTTGGGGTAAAATAAATTTAAAAATTTTATTTTTTATTTTGGCATAAATGTTTGAAGCAGCTAATCACAGAATGGATTTACAAAAACACCTTTTCCTCCAATTTACTCATGTTTCTCTATGTTTAATGACTAAGTATAGTAATATAGCATCCTGGAACATCCCAAATCATGTTAATGTCAGAGTTTAAATCGAGCTGGACATAGAACTCGATGGTAGACCCTTGACTGGACAAATTTCACAGGAATTTCCAGATTATTTAGGTCTAATTATTTCAAATTGAATGAAGTCAGCTTTATTTGAGTTGGATAGGGATGGCTCTAAAATTGGTTAATTCTCATTAATTTCCAATTAAAGACGATCTGATTTCCATTCCTCCCCCTGCTACAATGTTAAACTGGAACAATAATAGGATAATAGGCCTAATTTCACAACCACCAAAATGTTTTCGTACTTTTAGTCCATGGCTGAAGACAGGAACGCTACGAAAAATCTGAAAAGCTCAGAAGCCTATCAGTTCTTACATAGCCACAAAGTCAGCTGAGTGCTGGTACACAAATGCAGCAGTTAAGTGAAAATGAAAGCATATGTTTAACCAATCAGAGGCTGGGATGGTGCTTAAGGAAGATGGAGACTGCGCTCTTATGGTGGGAAAACTCCCTCTGTTGATTCATGGCACTTTTTGTCCCCATTTTTCTTGTAGACACACGCACACAGAGACACAAACGAACAAATACAAGCCAGAGATGTGCAGATCACCTCAGACAACAGCCACAGCTACTTTAGTCAACAAGGCAGGCTATGCTCATCATGATTGCATTGATCTTACTGGATCTGGTTAATGTTCTTAATTCTGGTATGACTGGTCTCGTTGTTTAACTGTGTTTTACATGAGGAAGGGGGCAGCTTATGCAGATGGAGAAGACGTGACTCTCTGAGTTACCTCAATATAGAGTTGCCGTCTTCAACCATAACTCAGACTACAAACTCTGCAAGACGCTCCACAGAGTTCTTAGTAGAAAGCACCAAAAAGGTGGTGCCTATAGTACTTAGAAAGCACTTCCTAATTACATGTGAAAACAATTTAAGAAAAGTTTCTGTAATCCAAGTTTCAATCTTGCACATGAATATGAAATCCCATTACTTTAAGCTGAGCTTGCAAGCGGATAAAATCTCACTGCAGAGGAGGTCTGCGACTGACTAGAACTTGTCTGAGAATGTAAAGGTCAGAGAGAAAAGCAGGATTATTTTTATAAAGGAGTGGCCATGTGCTCCTTTATAAACCAGCCCATGACTCCAGCAGATGTTAATAATTATTTTTGACCCACCTGCCACCAGTTGGGGTCTTCCTTATTGACCACATGAAGTATGTCTCCTTTGGCAAAGGCCAGGCCTGCCTCTTTACAGGGGATCAGGTTATCTGTGGCAGGGTTGTAGCTAAAGTATGGCTTCAAATAAACCTAAAAGTTAGAATAAAGTGTAAAGTTAAAAAGTAGAAATGAAACAGGACATATTTGACATAAGAAAAATCACACTGCTGGCTTGTCGGTTTTTTTTTTTTTCCTAATACAGTCTTTGTTTTACAACAGATGGACAAACGCCTTACAAAGAGCTCTAATTTTTAAAAATTAGTCTACTGAATATTTTCCCAGAATTCAGAGTAAATTTTGGGAAATGCATGGTGTAATGAGTTAGACCTGAGATTATCACTTTCGGTTCGTTTCTTTTTTGATTTTCTAGAGTCTAGCAAGACCTAGAAATGACTTCTTATCCTTCGCAGACTAAATGTGTCTGCACCATCGTTGCTCATCTGTTCTTCGATTTATTTAGATCAGAGTATCATGTGGTGATTTTTCAAGATCTTTTCAGCTTACTTTATGTTGTCAGATGTTTGCTACTTCACTAATTTCTTTAATTTATTACCTCCCATCTAATTACCTAAAACATTCTTTCAAGGCTTTAAAAAGTTAAACCGCACAGCAATCTCTTGGGAAAATACTTTCTCTCAGCAGCACTGTATCTCAAAAAGAAGAGCTCAAATAAATCTGACGGAGCATTAAATAATGTTTTCTGCTAGCCAGACTAGAAACCTAGAAATATCCACAGCGGAGGGATTACAGGTGGTTTCTGGCAGAGAGGTCAGCGTGTTACATAACCTTACACACTACTGCCAGTGTCAGCTGCTGCCGTGCCTGTTACAGTAAGGACCGGAGGGGTTCCAGTGGTCACAGTGCCCTAGTTAGTATGTAGAGTGTTATTAATAGGTCCTTGTGGACTCGGTTTTCAAGCGCCTGGCATTCTGAACAGCCAGGCAGGCTGCTCCCGGCCCGCTCCTCGACAGTTTCTCCTTATCTCCAGTGAGAATCTCTCAAAGCATTACAGTCTGTGGTTGGGTTAGGTGTATATGAGGGGATACATTTTTAAATAATCAATATGGAGTGTTGGATTCGGCTGCATGTGGCATTCCCTCCCCACCTCACCTGTGGGGGTGCCGGCGTGTCTCTGTAGCTGGGCAGGACCTTGAGTGTGACGCTCCCACTGCAGTTTTTCAGGATCTCCTGGAGCTCCTGGGGGTTGCTGCCCACTGCCTGACCGTTGACCTCTTGGATGATGTCCCCCGTGTGCAGCATGCCCTGTCTATCGATGGAGCTGCCATGCAGGATCCGCGTGATCACCATCTCCTGGTTAACCACGCGGAATGTAACTCCCTGGAAGAGAGCACGAGCTGCTCAGGGGTTCACATCTACAAGCAGTAAATTAGACGTGTGGCTCATCTCAGAGTTGGACCAGCTGAACGGAGGCACGATAAATCAGAAAACATGTGGAGAGTATGGCTATTAAGCTCACCAAAGGCTCCCCGGCCTTTTTCTGAATACCGATCACCCTCACAGCATCAGCCGGCATCAGGGAACTTGGCGAAAGGTTGCTGTTAGCCGAGGCGTTGTGCACTTCGTAGGATTTAACAGCCACTCTGTCATGAGCTTCTATTAAAGACTGAAACGGGACGAAAGGGAAAAATAAAGACCACAGTAAACGGTTTAACTACTCCGATCAATGGTTACTTCATCCAATAAGAAATAATCAACCACTCCTACACCAAGCATAACTAAAGAGTGAATCATTTTCTAAGCACATCTTGTTTTTGACAGGACTGAATGATGACCTACTAAAGGAAGACATGACTCACTATTATTGCTTCCCTTATAGCAATAAAATGAAACCAGCATAATTTAGAGCAGCAATTATGCAAACCTAATGGAAGATCTTCCTGCTCTACTCTATACAATTAGTCCATCCTTTAAACCTTGTTTGAAACTATTGCTAATTACTTAGTTTCATTTTAAAAGTTTAAAGACATATGCTGTTACCCTACCTACAGGACATTGTTTAGCATGTAATGCTGTGAAACTCAAAATATATTATATCTCCAATAGACCAGTTTGAGAAAAAGACCCCAAAAAAGCTTTAAATATCACTCTTTCACATGTTAGAAAAAAAGGGCTTTGTAAGTAAACCCTTAGCACAAATAGGATTACAGTCTTCAGACCCTGAAATGAGGCTCCTGCAGGATTCTGGCGAGCTCAACGGCGGCCGGGTCTTGTTCTCCGAGGTTGTTGAGAGAATCCAAGATCTCTGTGACCAGCTGAACGTTGTCGTCCCCCACCGCTTCGAGCTTGACTTCCTCCAGACGCTCGTGGGCCTAAATCCATAAAACACCAGAAATAAAAATATGGGAGAATCCCAATATCTTCATATGCTGATATATTGCCATTTAAAAACACCATATCAATCTCTTTTACTAATGAAATATTGCTATATGTCATCGTTATGCTACGAAATCCCCGAAAATTCACAAGATTTTGCCATATTTTTATATGTTGATATATTGACGCGGTATCGATCTATTTTACTAACAAAATCTCACAAGAATTTGCAAAATATCACGAGAGTTAGTAACAGAACGATGAAATTTCACGAGATTTTGAAAGTAAAATAGATCGATACCGCATTTTTAATAATCAATTTGATATCAGCATATGAAAATATATTTGAGTATATTATTTTTCAAAGTGTCAAAAAGGGATAACAAAACTGCTATTTTCAATGACTACTTCTTTTTGTCCAGCTTTAACATGGGTATCGTGTCGGTTATCGGCTACATGAGTTTTAAAATATCGGCATATCGGATATCAGCCAAAATCCCAATATCGTGCATCCCTAGTTTGTTATGTACAAAAGCAAAGAACAGACATATTAAATTGTTATCTTGAAATACTTTGTTAGTATTGATTTCAAAATGTAGGGGAAAAAATTATTTTTTTACAAAAAGTTAAAATGTTGGATAGTTATTTCCAATTATTATTATGGTGTTGTGTGTCCAGTCAGCTTTCTTATTGACGTGAACACCCAGGTATTTGAAACTCCCCACAGTTTCTATGTTTCTATGAGTAACAGTCGACTAATCTCAGATATCAGAAATCTTCTTTTTAGTTTAGCTTTTGTATCAACTTTACAAAAACAATAACCAGAGATTCCTCTTCCTTTAAACCACATTAGGGCTGCAACTAAGGGTGCTCCGATTGATCGGTCACCGATCGTTATCGGCCGATAAAGGCTTTAAATAGTTTGATCGGCGGTTTCTATAAAGGCCGATCAGATGGGCCAATGAGACGCACTACTTGTTGAATTCACTCATCCGATTCCTATAGGGGCGCTGTAGTTGCTCTGCATCGCTATGCGACTGGAAGTGGGGAAGAAGAAGAAAACGGACGGTCTGTTTTCTTGTGGTGAGGCAAGTTTGGAAGCGACTGGCACCGAGCCCCCAGAGAAAGTACCACGAGCTGGCTCCTTAAACGCTATGTATGCTGCGTTGTTGGATAAGGACAGGGAACATGGTGGCGGTGACATCAGCAGCTCAACATCATCGCAGATGAACCTGTACCTATCAGAGCCAGTCATCCCACGGAGCGGACAGCCGCTTGTTTTTTGGCGAGACAATAAAAGTCGTTTCCCCGCTCTCGCACAAGCAGCCCACGCCTACCTCTGTGCTCCGTGCACAAGTGTAGATAGTGAGCAACTTCTTAGCACAGCAGGGAATATTGTAGATGAGAAGAGGAAAAAGCTGTCTGCCAAAAATGCAGAGATGCTTATATTTCTAAAGAAAAATCTGCCATTGATGCTTAACAAGTAAGCTTTAAGAGAAATGGCTTCACTAATCTCTATTCCTCTTCTTTCTTTCTCATTGACTCATGTTTTCCATGCTGTGCACTTTAAATGTGTGTAGATTTAAAGGAGCTAAAAGAACATTTAAAGTTAGCATTTGTTTGAAATTTACAAAACTTTATTACTACTGAAAAATGTCTGCAGTGATTAGAAGGACATTTTAGACTTTGAGCTAGGACAAAAAGCCAGAATTACTGATATATTATCTAAAGATGTGTGACTGTTCCGTCATGGCTTCTATTTTCAGTTAATTACCGCAGGACAAGCCTAAAATACATACCTTATGCCTTTTTATCATGGCATCCCAAAACATTTGATTTTGTTTTCTTTGTTCTGCACTTTAAGTTTGTGTAAATTAACAATGACAGATTTTTTGTATCTTATTTAGAAGTAAGGCTTATTTGTTAAGCTCTAAGCTGTTTAAGATGTTTCTAAGGAAGTCAAATGTTGAACATTTCCTGTTAATAAAAGTATACAGTTGACAATTCACAATACATTATCTTCTGTTAATTTTAATACCTATACATTTTTGTTAAGACTATTAAAATTGAATACATTACATGATAAATAGAAGGCTTCAGATAGACCCAGTGATCGGTCACCGGTGATCGGTATCAACCAATACTGCTTTCAGCAATCGGTGATCGGCCCCAAAAATCCTGATCGGAGCACCCTTAGCTGCAACTAATGATTATTTTGCTAATGGATTGATCAGTTTTTTTGATTATTAATCACATAGCCAAAGGTTCCTTAAAGAACACTTTTTACAGAATTTAATCTAGTAAAACTAAAACTTTTACTGCATAGAGCATATTGACAGATGAAAAAGTGTTTTTAGTCTAAAATGCAAAATATTTATAGATTTTTTTTTTTACATAGCTGGTATAGCTTCTGCTCTAAGTGGGTTTCTCTGTCAATGTTTTGAGGTTTCTACACTACAGTTAATGATTAATCGATTAGTCTATTAGCTTACAATTATTTCAATAATCGATTAATCACCATTAATGGTTTCAGCCCTACGTGACATATGGAATCACTGTAGGCGTTAGGATTGTGCTTCACCTTAGCAAGAGAAAGGACGATGGGGCTCTCCATGATTCCTTTGAGGAAGATGAGGTCAATATCTTTGGCTGCAGTTCCTGATGGGATGTCTTTAAGGTTGTCAAGAACCTGCTGCATAGCTGCTGAAGAACAAAGATGTCTCACATGAACCAGAACAACAGAATGTTGGCTTAGAATGGAATGACTTGAATAACAGAAATAGCCATTTAGTGTGCTTTCTTTTTGGGCTTACCTGAACCCAAATTTGCATTGGCTACAGTCATGTTGTTCATTCCTCAGCTCAGGATGGTCCAACTCTCCGTCTAAAGCTGCCCAACTGCCCGTTTACAGAAACCGGAGCAAATGGAGAGCTGAGGGATGAAGGAAACCCGACAAGTCAGAATAGTTTATGGTAAGATAACTATGATATGCAAACCATAATCTGACATTAACCAAGCTGACATGTTGTACTAAACACAGATACAAGTGAAATAATGAGAGCAAGTTTAAGAGCACGAAAATACCATTTTCTTTTGTATTTTCTGTGAAATGACAAAGATGACAATTGAATGAGGACTGATGGTTGTTTCTTCCCTTTGGTTAAAGGTTGCACCAGTCCCTTACACACAACAGAGGCCTTCTGTCCTCACATTCTCTCCAAACAAATTTACAACCTTTTTAGTAAGGAGTTGCAGTTGTAGATGTGCTGAATTTTAACTGTATAGCAACTATGTACACTTCTAAAACATAATAAAAGCAGCTTTCCTTGTGTATTGTTAAAACAAAACCAGCTTGGTGTTCCAACACAAGCTGCAGGACCTTACATGTGTTGTGTGTTTAAATCATCACAGCAACAGGCTCTGTGAGACACAAAAAAACAAGCATCTGCCTTTAACAAAAAGCGGAAATAAAAACAATCCAGTAAATATAATCAGTTCTTTGAAATTGTGCTTTTGAATATTTAATGCAGATTAAAATGATAAACAACTTCAATTTCTGACAAAGTCACTTAAAGTAAATTACATAAACAGCCCTTACCTATAAATACGGAAACTAAAACATTTCAGTCCTAATTTAAAAGAGATGCAACTTAAAGTCTTCTCTTTGGGACGGTTGTTTCTGCCTTTTTTATAATGAACTATGATGAGGAGTATTGTGTGCAGTAGTAATCTTCCTATGTGCTCTGACTTGTCTGAAATGTTTTGCAAACAAAAGAGGGCCTTACTAAACACTAAACATTATGTTCTCTAACAGCTTCATCTGGTAAGTAAAAGCTGCTATTAAGGTGACTTGTTTTTTTTCTCAACTTAACACATTGATATGTATGGAAAAAAAGAGGACTAGAAGAAATAATCAGACCTTTCAAAAATCTGGTTAGCCTCTCCGGTCATCCGTTTTTGGATCGTTTTGCCAAGAAGAGAAAAAAAAATGACACAAGAGGTATAACTGATTTATATAGACATATTTATACACCAACCTCCACTAATAAACAAATAGTGCTGCTGAATGTACCATCACAGTGTGAGATGTTATATTTTACATGATCCTTCCAATCAAACTGCCTCCAGTCTTTGTTTACAGCAGCATTAATAAAGAGAACAGCTATAGCTTTAAGAGTAGTTTTAATCAATAGGTAGTGCTGCCAATACCAATTTTTCTCCTTGTTAAACGTCCAATATGCCTTTTTTTTTAAAAGGGATTGAATAGGCCATTTAAGTAGTTCTTTATATTTTTTTCTTTTTAAAAAAGAAACAGAAATATAGAAGCTGAAACCTTGATAAAGGTTACCTTAAATCCAACAAACAAAAAAATAGAGCAAAGATAAATCAAGGAATCACAACATTCTTTCCGCTGTACATGTCTCCAATATTGATTCAACTCAGAAATGTCCAAGATTCATGCATTTACTAACTAAATATATCAAGAGTTCTTAGTTTTTATATATTTGAGAAGAGAAAATATATTCTTTAAAAAAAAAAATCTGTAGGCCTATTTGACTAGATCATAAATCAGAGTCAGTTAAGGGTAAACGCTGGGCGAATGTTTTAGTAGTAGTACCAAGTCTTAAGTTTCTCATGGGGAATATCGGCGCTCAGTTCTTTAGGGTTTGTGAGAGAAAAGAAGCAGCTCATGAGTTTTAAAATGTCACCATGTCTCAATCATTACATGTCAGGAGGAAAAGGAGAAGGAAGAGGCTGCTGCTTTACTAATTTTAGCAGGGTAGCACTCAGATGGGTGATGTAGAGGAAAATATTACAATCTTGATCCAAAGTTAAAGATAAACATGGAGATTGAAAACAAACCTAATAAAAACAATAATAATCGTAGAGGCACATTAGGATCATAGTAACAGTCGACTAATCTCAGATATCAGAAATCTTCTTTTTAGTTTACGGATTAGGCCCACTGAAAAAAATTACAAAGTTAACTGATTTTTAAACTTTATTTCTTTATAATATAAGAAAAAAGTGAGAATTCAGACTTTTTTCTCAGAATTATGACCTTTTTCTCTGAATTATGACTTTAATCTCAGAATTATGACTTTTTCTCAGAATTATGACTGAATTCTGACAGCTAACAAACATGTTATCATCAAGTCGTAGCCATGGCTGTTTTAAAGACTAAAGTAGCTCTCTTCTTTTAATCACCTTCTGCTCTTCCATTAATGCAATAGCATCACCGGGGACCCCTTGGGCACGTATAAAGTCACCTAATTCCATCATTTTCCACCAATGTGTCACTGGCCCACTAAAACAACTCACATACTGGTCAGTGAAGCTGAGTGCTCCTACATCTCTTCCTTCATGGTGCCCATCTACATTAAGAACCAACATTCTGAGATTAAAGTCAGAATTCTGTGGGGGGAAAAAAGTCAGAATTCTTAATTTGATCCCCTATTAAACTGAAATAATATTTAAAAACCAGTTAACTTTTTTTTCACCAGACGCCCTAATCCTCTTTCGTAGATTGCAGTTTTCTGCACTGTAAAAAAACAAGTTATGTATAGATGCCAGACCTTTCTGAATGTTTGATTTCAATATTTGAATTTGATCGCAATTTTACCAAAATTAAAAATCCCAAAGTATCTTTTTAAAAGCATCATGCAACACATCGAGTTAAATGCATAAAAGTAACCATACAGGGAGTAAAGTCATTCAAACATTTGAAACTGATTGAAATATTCAGCATAGTCTTCAGCCTGAGCATGCTCCTCCAGAGAGTACCCGTGCTGTGGAAGACGTCCTGCCTCGTTCCGGTGCCAAAGACGTCGCGCCCTAGCGACCCTCAGGACTACAGACCGGTAGCACTGACGTCCCATATCATGAAGACCTTTGAGAGGCTAGTCCTGGAGCAGCTAAGGCCCATGGTCAGGCCCTTCACTGATCCACTACAGTTCGCCTACCAGCCCCGCCTGGGAGTTGAGGACAGCATCATCTTCCTGCTGAACAGAGTCTACAATCACCTGGACAAGCCGGCGAGCACAGTGAGAATCATGTTCTTTGACTTCTCCAGCGCCTTCAACACCATCCGCCCGGCTCTACTAGGTGAGAAGATGACTGCGATGCAGGTGGAGGCCCCCATCGTGTCCTGGATTGTTGATTACCTGACGGGCAGACCACAGTATGTACGCCTACAGAACTGTGTGTCTGACAGGGTGGTCAGCAACACTGGGGCGCCTCAGGGGACTGTCCTCTCCCCCTTCCTCTTCACCCTTTTCACCTCGGACTTCAGCTATTGCTCTGAGTCCTGCCACCTTCAGAAGTTTTCTGATGACTCAGCAATTGTTGGCTGCATTGAAAAGGGTGAGGGGAGTGAATACAGGACTGTGGTGGGCAACTTTGTCACTTGGAGTGAGCTGAACCACCTGCAGCTCAATGTGACAAAGACTAAGGAGCTCATAGTGGATCTGAGGAGGACAAAAACACCTGTGATCCCTGTTTCCATCCAGGGGGTTCCTGTTGACACTGTGGAAGAGTATAAGTACCTGGGAGTGTACTTTAACAATAAGTTGGACTGGACTAGAAACACCGAGGCGGTCTACAAAAAGGGCCAAAGCCGACTATTCTTCCTGAGGAGGCTGAAGTCCTTTAACATCTGTGGGACCATCCTGAGGATGTTTTATGAGTCTGTTGTTGCTAGCACGCTCTTCTTTGCTGTCACATGCTGGGGCAGTGGGCTGAGGGTCGCTGAAAACAACAGACTGAACAAACCGATCAGGAGGGCCGGTGATGTTGTGGGGGAGCAGCTGGACACCCTGACCACCGTGGCAGAGAGGAGGATGCTGTCCAGGTTTCAGTCCATCTTATACAATGACTCACATCCTCTCCACGACACCCTGGTCCAGCAGACAAGCTCCTTCAGCAGAAGACTCCTCCTACCCAGATGCACCACAGAGCGCCACAGGAATTCATTCCTACCTGTGGTCATCAACCTATATAACGCCTCCCTCATGTGATTCAGCCCCCTCTGTAATTTACATTTATGCACTACTTTTGCACGCCACGTATCACCTTACTTGGATTTATTCACTTTAATTGGACTTTTCACTCTATTTGGATTTAGGTTTTTACATATACATAGATATACGTACAGATATATACATAGAAGAGCTATATGTGTATATATATTTTATCTCTTTTTATTCTTATTTTTTATCTTTATTATATTGTATAGTTGGATTTGTGTATATATCATGTAAAACTGTAACTAGAGCGTGTAACAAAAGTTATTTCCCTCTGGGATTATTAAAGTATTTCTGATTCTGATTCATACTGCCTTCTTCAGAGCTCCGCTGTCAAAGCTACACGTGTTTTTCGCTGCTACGATAAGTAGCCTCTGCTGGCTAGCGGAAGGAAAAACTATCACATTAACAATAATGTCCGAACATTTCATGCAACTTTGATTTTGTATGTGTAAAACTAAGTGATGTCAGGTGTTCAGCTGTGTTATTTTAAACAGTGACTCCGTTTAAATGTGCAGCCCACATGTGTGCAGGTAAATTAGCAATGCTAACTAGTAAAAAAAACTGCTGGGCTAAGCGAAGTGAAATGTATCTCAATGTGACAAATTAAACGGTTAGGTGAACATTAAAATGGAAATAGGAGAGTTAGACCAGCTATGTTCGAGAGGTATTTATCGTTTCCAGGCAGTTAGCAGCGAGGTAAAATTAGCTGTTATCCTGCTAGCGTACAGCTAGCTAGTTAGGCGCTTTAACGGTTTCTCCACGTTAGCCGGATTGATTAAAACTAGCAGCAAATTTAAGGATGAGACACCTAATGTCTATTATTTCTAATGGGTTGTGACTTACTCGATGTACTGAGGTCGACGGGCGGCCGGTCAGGCTTCCATGATTTCCTTTATTTCCGATCTCTCAGGTAGCAGTGACCGCTGATTCATTCCCAGCCTGTCTCTGTCTTCTTCTTCTTCTTCTTATGAGATTTTATGGCGGTTGGCAAACTTGTGAAATGTGCATTACCGCCACCAACTGATATGGAGTAAAGCAAGGAAACAGGAAACGATTCACCCCCCCCAAAAAAAAAAAAAAAAAAAAAAAAAAAAAAAATACAATAAAATAACCTGTGTAACTTAAACCCACATAATACTAAATTATACTAAATTACATTTGCCCGTATAATTTTAATTTACTCTAGGTCATCGTACCTCTGCCAGTTTCTGATGGTCCCATTGGTCTTTCCATCATGCTTCCAACCATCTCCCAGTTCATATCTTTAACATCCAGATATTTTTCTGCAGCCTTCACTATTATTTTGATTTTTTCTGTTTTTTTTGTCGTCTGAGCAGTACAATTAATCACTTCCACCATGAAAAGAACAAAATTTGTCTTTTTAACAATTAGTGAGTCTTCATCAATTTTTGGAGATTTCTCTAGAGGTTTGAAATTTGCCGTGTGTTGAACTGTAGGTTTGGGTTTTTCTGACTGAGATGGGATCCTTTTTGCAGCTTCAGCATAAGTTATTCCAAGCTCAAATTTCATTTTTTTTATTTCTTCAGACCTTTTGCTTGCTTCACAGCCGCGATAAGCAGCAGTATGTTCTCCACCACAATTACAGCATTTTATTTTAGCTTCTTTTCCACATTTACCATATTCATGTTCTCCTGCACACCTTCCACACCTCTGTTTCCCTTTACAAACTGCTGCAATGTGTCCGAATTTTTGACATTTGAAACATCTCAATGGTGGTGGATTGTAGATTTTGACATTGTAACTGATGTAACCGATGAATACTTTGCTTGGTAATTGCTCTTCCTCGAATTTAATTAGTACAGATAAACTGTCAGATCTTTCTCCGTTTCTTGTTGTTTTTAACCGTTTTACTTCTTTTACTTTTGCACCGCTTATGTTTTCCAGAATCTCTTTTTCAGAAATTTTCAGAGGAACTCCTCCAATGACTCCCCTGCTGATCTTTTTGTTCTCCATTAGGCTGCACTGAACTCTTATCCCGTCAATTTTGTTAATACGTATTGCTTTGCCTTGCTGGGCGCTGTCTCTGCAGTTAATTAGCAGGTCTCCACTGTACAGAATTCTGGCACCTCTGACTTCTCCAACAAGTTTATTGATGGTTTTTGTTAAGTGAACCGGATTCCAGTTTGTAAAAGAGTCTGCCTGATTAACGACTTTGAATATGACTTTGAATTCATTTTGTTGTGCTGTGGAATGTATGGATTGATCATCACTGGATTGTTCTGAACTAGATTCCCCTTTAACTGATCTCTGTTTTTTCCGCTTTTTCTCATTTTTTGATGCTGCTATCTTCCAACCTTCATTGTCACTATTTCCCTCTTCCATCCCACAAGAATCGCTTCCTGTTTCCTCACTACTCACGGCCCAGGACATTTCTCCACAAGCAGAGCAGCTTCAAAACACGCGCCATGCACCAAACGACCCGAGCCACATGGAGGATCCTCTTCTTCCTTGTCCCTGTCCAAAATCGCCTGTCTCTGTCCTCCTCAGGCGGTGAATGTCACTCATTACTGCCCATCCAGGTTATCCAATCCATTCAAATCCGCCACAGAAAATATGTATATATAACTATATTTAATCAATATGCTTTAAATTCTTTATAAATTAGAATGTTTATATGCAGCTCCCTCATTTTATTTTGGAAAGGGTTCCTGCATCACCCCTCTCAGACTCACCCCCAACTGTTTTATTTAAATTTTTTAGTATATTAAAGTGCAAAGATATTAATGCATTTACTCTCCTTTCAGCCTGGAAACGTCAGTTATTGAAATTGTATGTGACGCCAAAAGGAAACACAGGAATTGTAAAATTAGTCTTATAAGACCCCTTGAGTCAGGTTTTAAAATATTATATATATAATTATTATCATTATTATTATTATGATGATGTACACAGATGTTAATTCACACACACACACACATATATATATACATACATATATATCTATCTCTCTCTCTCTCTCTCTCTATATATATATATATATATATATATATATATATAAATATATTTATAGAAAAAAAAAAATATATATATATATATATATATATCTGTATAAATATATTTACAGAATATATATATATATATATATATATAATTATTTCTTTTTAAAAGCTTAAAGAAATTTCTAGTGACTGAAACTGTTGTTCTTAAAAAAACAACAAGCTTATTTCAGATGGACAACAAGTATTCAGAGTTATTCATTATTCATTCATTCAGTCAGATATGACTTGTTTGCTTGTCTGTGCAAAATAAATATAAATAAATACAATCCTTTTAAAATAATTCATAAAATATTGTTGTAACAACTATATTTTAAGTTATTAAATTAAAAACTTCATAATTTTCGTAATTAAGTACATGACACCTAAAATTCTTTTTAAATGATGCTAGAAAAGCTGGTTGGACCCACTTTAGTAATATGAGTGTAGGAGCCATTTATAGTTGTTGGTGTTTAGGTATGGTTTGTTTCTGGGTTATTTGTTTTGGGTGGCGGTGACCTATATTCTGCTCTACCACTGGTGGCGGTGTGGAGGGGAATGCTTTATAGGTAGGACGTGAGGGGGCAGAAAGGGTTTTGGGTGACGGGAGGTCATACGGTTTTTACCGCTTTCTTTGGCACACAATAGCCTGCGTCCTCCGGTTAAACTCTGTTATCTTTGACATTCTCCATAGTTACCTGTCCATCTCACTTGATGTAAAGACCGCTACTCTGATTGTTTGGAAAGTTTGTTCATATACAAACGTACTTCAATAAATGGGAACGCCCATACCTCATATCCTGGTTTCCATCTCCTCTTTTAAGCGTGTTAAATCCCAGATTCCCCGCACCCGCAAGCGACAAAAAGGTGGTTGGTAGTCGCTACACAAAGTAAAAACCTCGACCTTTTTGGATTAAGAGGACGACTCACCTGGATAAGTTGGGCGCACGTCATGTCGCACTGTCCTAGCTCACCTGCACAACAAAGGAAGGATTTATCCAGCCATCCATCGCTGTCATCTTAAGTAAGATCAATCAAACAATAAGGTATGAGGCACGAATACCATCAAGACATCTCCGGTGAGTGCAGTCATCCTTATTAAATATAAAGCTGGGCGTGTTGGATTGGATTTTGATGCGCAACGGCGTCGGGCCGTCTTCTGGAGTTAATACTCTTTATTGCCAAGGACTAATGTGATGGCTTTCTTTCATTCATGTTTCAAAGTGTGAATATTCAACAGCCACTAATGTAAATGCGCTGGTGTTCTGCAGTTTGGAACGTTTCTGACAACGTAAAGCAGGAGCAACGTAACGCAGCACGTTACTGTCTTTATTAAGCCACCGTGGAAAATGACTGATATTAATGATGAAACTGAGCCTATGGGCACACAAGCTGAAAAAAGACAAAGGAAACTTTCGCTAAAGGGTACTGTATTTGCATTTGAATAGGTGCAAAAGGAAAGAAGCGAAGTGTTTAAAAATGCAAGTAAAATAAAGTCGAAAATAACAGAGCTGTGGTTGTCAAATAAAAATGTTTCTGAGGTTAAACAATACATACAAGAGTTCAATACGTTGTGTGAAAAGGCATCATCTCTCCACGACAACTTGTTAAATAATTTTAATTTGCCCGAGGATGAGCAACAAAGACAAAATGCCTGGTTTCAGGAGAAAGAAGGCGCAAATAATGAGTTTGTGAATAAAGTGAACACCTGGTTGAAAGAAAATTTGAAGGCGTGTAATGAACTTGATGCTGCTAACGTTCAAGTGGAGAACTGTTGTGGTGCGGTCGAAGATAACGTAAACCCTGAGGATAGTGCTTCAAACGTCTCAAGTAAGCGTTCTAAGCGCAGTTATGCGTCCAGCACATCCTCTGCTCGTAAACGAGCCCTGGCTGATCAAGCAGCTTTACTGGCAAAGGCAGATGCTTTGAAAAGGAAACATGAATTGGAGGAATTAGAGCAGAGACACAGACTGGAAGCTGACAAGATAAGAAAGAAAAAGGAACAACTGGAACTGGATGCGCAATTAGCAGCTGCAGCAGCACGCCTTTCTGTGTTGGAAAGCAGTAGCGTTGGAGGAAAATCTAAATCGATGTCCGATGGAATGAACTCTTATGTCAGTAAGGGACTTAAAGAGCAAAGACGCGCTGAATTCAACCCACAGGCGACAGAATTTGTGCCCAATGCTGCCACAAACACCCCGATGGGTTTTACAGCAACTGCTCCCTCTGCGCCAGCTGTGAGGAAAAAGGTTTATAGCAGTATAAAACCAGAAGATCAGCCGCACTACCCGAAACAACCACTGTATGGCGCTGTTAAACCAGATTCAAAGTTGGATGGATTACCTTCTGTAAATGTCAACTCCAAACTAAACACTTTTCCCTTTCAACCATCAGATCTACAATTACGAGTAACACACAAGGCACAAATGCAACAACAATTAAATAATCCATCAATTCCAAATGATAATGTAATCTGTACCATTATGCAAAAACAGAATGAAATCACATCAATGCTCGTTCAGCAGCAGTTATCAGCTACTCTTCCTCAGCGTGAGATCCCAGTTTTTGATGGCAATCCTTTGGAGTGCATATCTTTCCTAAGAGCTTTTGAACATTGTGTGGAAGAAAGAACAAACAATTATCAGGATTGTCTGTACTTTTTAGAGCAATATACCAGAGGGCAGCCAAGGGAGCTGGTCAGGAGCTGCATGCACATGTCATCACAGCAGGGCTACCAGCGAGCAAAGGAACTCATAATGGAGCATTTTGGAAATGAACATCACATTGCTTCTGCATACAGGTGCTGGTCATAAAATTAGAATATCATGAAAAAGTAGATTGATTTCAGTAATTCCATTTAAAAAGTGAAACTTGTATATTATATTCATACATTACATACAAACTCATATATTTCAGATGTTTATTTTGTTTAATTTTGATGATTACAAATGACAACAAAT